TGGGAGGAGCAAAGTTATGCAAAATGGATCTAGTGCTCTAAATTTGAAAAAATTCGTGAAAAATCGTACGATGTCATAAGCTCTTCGATCTCTTGCTCTTGATAAAAATTGTTGTAAGACGTAGAAAATAAACGAAAATGCATTTTTTTTGTCATAATAATCAATTCGAGTTATTGTTTCCAAATTTGCATTTATCTCGCTTCATTAAATTTGTATATTTTTGGTTTAAAAAATATTATAAAATATTACGCAATTATGTATCAAAATATTTTATATATATGTATATAATTTTATTTTCTTTGGAGAGTTCAAGAAGCGAAGTTCCTCTCAGGATAATCATCGGTTATACATGATAGTGTCACTCGAATCGCTCTCTATACTTTCTCAATGTTTTTCACTTTCGCGTTTACGTGCTAGAACGAATATGATATTTATATAGTGCCTCGAGGCGATAACGCTGGTATCATCAAGTTTTTCGACTAGAAAACGGCGTGTTTCTTTTACATAGTCAGTTTGTCGCGTTTGCCCATGGATAAAATTGTTAAATAAACTATTTAGAAATTGTGATTTCATGACTTTTTAAACAAAGTGAATTTACTCAAGCAAATTTATACGGGTATAAATATCGAAATGTTTGATGATAATTTGACATAAAAGTGTTTGTATAACAAACGGAAAACTCTGATATATATATATATATATATATATATATATATATATAAAGTATAATTTATTGAAGCGATTTAATTATATATAAATATTTAATTATGGATTATGAACACGGAAGCCTAACGAATATTGTCAGTCATTTCTGTATCATTAACTTCGTTAACAGAAGCCATTCAAGGGTTGACAAAGAGACGGAAGTTGCTTTTATAGTATTATAGAAAAATACATTATAATATATATATATATTTCTCTATACATTCATATATATGAAAAAGAATTAATAGATTTTAATCAAAAACGATGTAATTAAAATATATATTTTATCAAACTGTCTGTTTATTTGAAAACTTTATTAGAATTATTGAGATTTTTAACTCTTTATTAACAGGATTCGGTTTTAGCTAGAAAAGCTCTATGGCTTCAATTTATTAAAAAAAAACCAATTTGCTATATTCACAAATATAAAATATTTTTATCTATATATAAGTTTTAATAAATATTTGTAATAATAAAAAAATGAATGTAATATTTTACGACTCGGAAACATTTTCAATTCGGATTTTTCCAATCAGGAATTGAAATAGATGCGATTTCGGTGGATTTAATTTTCTCCGTTACGAATACACCAATTAGCGCGAATAAGCATATATAGAGATCATTTCCACGAATTTCTACGGCGCAGAAATCCGAGTCTGCTAAAATTGAGCTGCTTTCAGCATTAATCGAAATAATGAGAGACATTGATTCAAGTTGATTTAAATTCGAGAACGTTCTAAAAAAAAAGTCATGAAATCCTATCGTAATCTCCATCGTAGCTTTGGATATCCGCAAAAGATCTCATTCTGAAAACCAGATCCTTGACTCGAGTGTAGTTCACTTTTTGCGTTCCGACGTCCTTGCGGGTTTTACACGGGATTTAGATCGCGTAATCATCCCCCTGTTGCACCCGAAAGAAGCATTCCTCGCCTTCCCCGATCCGGAGATCCACCACATTCAGAGCGTTACATCTCACCACCGTCTCTCTTCTTTCGCGAATCCCGTGGAAAAGTTTCCGGACGACGAGATTGACACGTCAATTGACACAGAAAATCCGTGCATTGACGATAATCTTTTTGACGTGTGAATTTTTGCGGTAAGAGTGGCACAAAAATGTGTATTGAACATCGGTGACGAAACGAGATTATTATCCGCGTTGGTTCTGAATTTATAAAAAAAAAAATAGAGAGAACACTAGATCGTCTAACATAAAACATTACCCGTACGATCGCTGAACTGTAAGAGGAACCGATCGATTAACATATCGATTCGAATCAGGGTGTCTAGCAGTCAGGGAAATCTGGAAACCCGGGCATTATCAGGGAATTTTATAAATCTGGAATTGTCAAGGAAATTTTATACTATTAACCTGGATTTTTTCACATTATTCTACATTTGTCTCAATAATTTGAAATTATTTATTAAATAAATATAAACTTTTCCTTGACTCCCAGTACGCTAATTTTCTGTGTTAAAAATCGATTCATCTACAGCGTGTTCGTTCATTTATATTTTCATCGTCGTGTGATTTTATTTCAATGCGTTTGATAGAGACAAAAGTAAAAAATATTTGATATAATATAAGTAAAAGAGGTGATTATTTAAATAGTTTATAATAATATGTTTGTTTCGATTATCGTACATAACGCAGATTGTATAATTGATTTAAATTTTTGTTTGAACTTCCGAACCTTTTCATTGTTGACAAAAATACCTCAAAGACTTCATGATTTAACATTGAATTGATTTATCATACAGATATATGCAAATTATATATATTTAGAAAAAATAATACTAAAAAATCAAGGAAAAAATTAACTTCTGGTCTTGGAGAATCGGAAAAAGTCATCAGGGAATTTTTTTTCATCGAGTTTGCTGGACACCCTGCGAATGAACCGAGATACGTACATACATATAATAATAACGCGTTCTCCAACCAAGAAGTAATACGGAATATTAGCATCGTGACACTGCTATCTTACGTAGGTATACACTCTACTTTCGGCCTTGATACATTTTTAATTGTGTTATCACAACTGTACTGTATTGTTGTTGCATCTCGCTCTACCCTCTTCGTTCTCTCTGTCGTGACGGACGACCATCTCGACTACCTATGTTTGACGACAAAGCGCGCGAGCAGAAATGTATTTTAATATACCGTTCTCCATTCTTCGCCTATTCACCCGCCGCTTATTCACACCGGCGCATTCTAACCCCGAGTCGGTATCTATCTCGTCGGGTGTTGAACATCCCCCGATGCGCCATCATATGCATCCCTACCCCCATCAGTGTATTGTACATGTGTATAGATTTTATATATATATATACATATATTATACGATTTAACGCATTACATTTTCCCTCTGATGAGGAATTAATTAAAACATTATAATTATATAATAATGTTTATTAATTTTGTATATATATATATTTATATACGATTTTCTGTTGCTACATATACAGTGAAATTCTTGTTAGAATAATATCTAATTGGATTGAATTGAATTTATTAATAAAATGTATTTCTCTCTATATTCCAAAGAAATTTTTTTGACAATCTTAATTTTAAAGACAACTTTCTGATCGAGTTATTTTTCAAAGAAATTTTTCTAAAGAGATTATAATTTTTAATTCAGTTACATATAACTTTTAATTTCTTCCAAAGTACTTTGATATATATATATATATATATAATTGAATCTTGAATTAAAACTTTGATGAAAAGATAAAATACGCTTAAGCGAACAATGAAGTTTCATTTAATTGCGTAAACGGTTTATTTATTGTTGAACAATTTTTATATGTGGTTTAATGCTTCAAGTACTTAATGCTCTAAAGATTACGTTGAGATTTAATGAGTCTCTTTTATATACATATAAGTACGAATTTTACTGTACATATGTATGTATATAGATTATACACACCGACGCACGAGAATTCACTGTACATATGTATATACACACAAGCAATATTTGTCATGCATGCACATCAACTTTATATCTATTACGCCCGTAGATTTATAGCGCTCACTTATCAGCGCGTGAATTTACAAGTAATCGTATAATATCCCATCCTTTAACGGACATGCGAAATCCCTGATTGCACACTGTGATGTTGATCACTTGCGTGATTATCATTCGTGTTACTCGCAATTTAGCTTTCTGTCGACATGTATTTGTACACAATCACACACGTCACTGTTTACCATTTGTGTGTTGAACCTTTCATTATTATTACATATGTTCACGTGCACCAGAAAAGATTTTGACATATGTACGCGTGGGAATGCACGTAATCACAACAAACGAGATCCCATGTGGTTTTGCCGTAATAATCATTTTTCTTTTATCTTTTTTTTTTATTTTGTAAAGTACAATACGCGTTAAATGATTTTTTATTTTACTGCCGAATTACTTAATAATTAAATAAAATTGGAGAGCAAATTTCTCATTTTTAAAGGCACATTTATTCACTCGGTTCAGACTTTGCATGAATTGCGCCAATTTTTGCTCCATTAGCTCTCTCTAGATCAACAAGAAGCAGTTATTCTCGTACTGTTTCATCTCATGCTTCGGGCTGCTAGTTTTAAATTCGATTCGCTCCGCGATCCCATTCATTTGCCATTTCACGTTAGTTTTCTCTTGCAACGTTTATATAGTATTACATTTTTATCAGCACAAAAAAAAAGAGCGAATATTCTTTTCATATTTCGAAACGCAAATTTTCCGGCAGTATTCAGTTTCTGCGTAGTAATGCAAGCAAATTTTTTTAAAAGCGATGCAAATATAGTAAAGCATCTTGAAATATGATATTTTAAATATAAAATAATATATATAGAAATATGCTAATCGTTACATTTTTCATTGCGACGAAGAAGAAATTATATTTTATGGTGGAATTTTGTTTAATTTTTTAAAAAATATTAGCTTATTTAACATAAGATTTTTCACACATATTTGATTACGTCTGAAGCATATATTTTCAAGACAGACTACTTATGAAATAAATGTCTCATTTATATTCCCGAGTCAGTTAGTCTCCTACGCGTACATATGTATGTGCGTGGCTGCAGCTGCACATTCGAGAATCAAATTTAAGTTTTAAAACATCGAATGCTGATTTCCAAATATTTAAGAACGGCGAATGAGCCTCCCCATTTCGAGACGCGAACGACAGCTGTGGTTTTGTTTGAAATGAATTACGTAGCGGAAGGGGGTTTGATCTAGCCACGATAAAGAGAAAAAAAAATGAATCGTAATCGATGATGATATAATCGATAAATCGATGTAATATAGCATGCGACATGAACGTACACAAGAGGTGCGAGGAGAGCGTGCCGAATTTATGCGGATGCGATCACACCGAAAGACGTGGTCGTATACACCTGCACATCACGTGTTCCGGTAGCAAGCTCAGCATAGAGGGTAAGTTCAATATCATCGATTTATACTGATTTATTCCGACATTTTGTTATTCCGATAGTGCGTCTTTTTTTTTATGCGCTTCTATATCTCGGAATTTACGTTCGTGAAAGTTTTTCTTGATATTTTATAATCTCACAAATCAATCTGTGTATTTTGTGTTATTATGTTGTATGCTTGGCGCGCAGAAAGCTACCACAACTTTATATTTTTAACTTATATTTTATTTTGTGCAGTCATTGCTAACGAAGTATTCAGTTTCTCGTTCTCTCAGATTGTTAGTTGAAGTGAAGTATTATATCCTAAGAGAGTTATCTCGTATACCCCATTATTGCATAATATTACACGATTTACTGGTGGAATATTATTTCAGCGATTATTTATAACAATTTATAACAGTATTTTATGACAATATATAAGACATATTTTTTCCTTTTGGGAACGCGAGAAGAAGAGAACGTTTTACATATGTTTCTATGATTTTAGATGAAAAAATCTAAAATTATATATTATCTAAAAAAATATATTAGCCATAAAAACAAGATCTACATAAAAATCTCATTTTTATCGATTTATAACAATCTCGTTTAATAATTAAAAATATTTAATCTGTTTTTGCATTTTTTTTATGTCAGTTAAATAATATTGAAAAATAACCATTCTCATAGTGTTCGCATTTTAATATCACAAAATGAAAGGTTTTTATTTCAATTAATTTTTTTGAACAGTTTGATCATGCCACGGAAAAATTCCCGATTTAAATTTTACACTACGAGCACTTGTCGGAATGCTGTTAAATCTGCAATGATTGTGATGTGATTTTCGTTTCGCGAACGACGGAAAAGCATCGTTTATTTCCTTCTCAATGAGAAACCGTTGTGAACAAATCGATTAACTAGGATTGATTTGTCGATTGCAGCAAACGAGTGGCCCGAAATTCAACGAATTTTTCTAACGAGCGTTTAAATTAAAGCTAAAAAAAGAGAGAAAAGAAATGATCATTATATAAAATGACGATAGTAACATTATAGTTCGTTAATGATCTTTTATCAGCTGGGCTTACAGATGTCACTCGCTCGTTAAAATGAATTAGGAAGCTTTTTCTATGCTTCTCTTTTCTTCGTTTATTCTGCAATTTTTAATAAAACGAGACAATGTCATCGTTATCCTTGCTTTCGAGGTCCATCGAGGTCGATTCGAATAAGGATAGTGTAACAATGCAATGACGTCAGAGTTCTTATCGGTCATATAATTTATAATCGTGTATGATATCTGTAGATATACTATAAGACGTTATTACCGTAAGGACGTAATGGATCTGAATATCATTACAACTTAAGAGCGCAATTATTCGCAGCCGGTGACGCTCGCTCTTATATATATATATATATATATATATATATATATATATATATATATATATATTATATATATATGTATATTCTCACCGACACCCTCTAAATTCACCACGACTGGAGTGCATTAAATTTTCCATGATTCTCGTCAAATCGGTTTATCGGAGCCGATGCTGCTCCGAGTGGCCTCGGCTTAACTTGTCTTAACCGCATCCAATATTATGTTAGATTGCACGTGTCTGAATTGTAATGCATTATTATAGGTACTTGTCGCCCTCGCGAATTATTTTGCATCAGAGATATCTTAAAATTTTTACTCTTATGCAGACGTTACTAATTAACTCGGTAATTAAAAAGCGACTGTTAATAATGAGCGACAATTTTCAATATTATATTTTTAATTAAAAAATATTTAATTAAAAAAGAGGGATAATGTGCGTGTTTTAGCTTTAAAAAAAAATTTTTACATTTTAATCTCTGTTTAGCTTCATACTATAACTATAACTGAACATATTATTGGATCTTATGTTATTTCATTATTTTCAAGTTAAATATAGATAAATATAGAGTGATTACAGAAATATGGATAGATTACAATAAAAGAAATATTGGATCTTATGATTACAGTGATTATAATAGATTAAAAATTATAGTGCATTATGTGAAGTATAATATAATATATAGTAGATGGTTTATATTATTACATACATGTATCTACAAATTTTAATTTTGCACAAGTTTCAAACGGTTCATTTACTTTGTAATTAATATTCTATTTTGTAAAATACCAAAATATCCCTGAGTAAATTTTCAAAACAGCCAATAATAGACTGATAATAATAAGCTTTATTTTATGAACTTGCCAGCTTTGTATATGTTTGCACAATAAATCGAGGAACAGTTAGATTTCAAGATTAAATTTCTACAGTTATATTTCAAGATTAAATATTTATATACCAGATTTTTAAATTCATTTTCGAGGCAATCTATCTATGAAAGTTATAATTATCTATCATATTTCTTTCACCTTTTTAAATAACCATTTATAAAAATCTATACACAATTCTTTAATTTTTGCATCTGATATTATATGGATCTTATTATCTCGAAATTAAAGTAAATAATAATTTAACATTCACACCCCGAATGCACATCAGAAGAGTTGTTGATACATATTGACCTCAAAGTGGCAAATTTTATAAATTGTATCGATTGTAGAAATAAATTAAATTTACGAGCAATTAATTTTACAAGTAATAAATTGTGTGTTAAGTAAGTTGAAAATTGTTTACAGTCGCTCCGCTGTTGCACGATGCTTTCCCGGGCTTGTGTTACTTTTCTCGTCTTTTTTGTTGTTTCTTTAGCACTCGCGTAAAAACAAATTAATTACGATTGCGCTTGCGCTAATTATACATAATGGAACAATTGCGCGGCATTTTGCACTCGCGACATTAGTTGCACGCGACGCGCACTTTATTAAATTTTGAGAAAAAAAATTATTTAACGTGAAAACACTTTGCTCGGATAAAACTATGATTTATTTGGCATCTGAAAACAAACATCAAATTCGTATGTCATTCGCTGCGATGATATATTTGTTGCTAATGAATAGTACATGCTTTTGTTTCAAGATGATTACCACCTTGTATATTATAATGTAAGTGTGAATATAAATAAACGTGTTAAAATTAAAGATAAATATCCGCGGATGCAATATCCGACAATATTATCATCATGCTAATTATTTGTTTCGTAACAGATCTCGATTGAATAAATAATAAATTATCACAAAATACGCGTTTTCGCGAAAATCATCGATGTATATATATATATAATGCCATATCTTTATTACGCTGTGTTGACGAATATCAAAATATATATTAAATATACTTGTATTGTATAAATATATTGTGTTTAAATTAAATATGATTCTGTTTATGAATTAAATGCGTTGCCCGATTTGAAATCGAAATTATTCGCAATGTTTTGATCGATTAAAGGCTCCAAAAATTCGATAATAATAATATCGGATAACACTCCATGATATGATATCCAAAAGAATCGAATTAATGGCTAATTAAAACGCAAAAATTAATTAATCGCTAATTTAAATGATTGTAAGGGATGTTCGCATGATCTTGTAGTACTCGTTACATATTTCGAGAGATAATAAGACGATAGTAATCATTTCGAAACGGAGCAACGTTATCGAAAACAAGTGAATTTCCCGACGAGTTGTTATTTATAATTTATATAATCGTCACAAGAGTCATTATACAAGGGTACAATATGTTCTTCCATTAAATCTAGACTCTCTGGACGTATTCCTTCATTGTTACTCTATTTAATTTAAATATCTTCTATCTTCGCATCTTAACTATTTTTGTTGATCATGGAAGGGAATAAAATTAATCTTTAATGCAGAAAGAATTTTTATTTAGACGGATGGAACGAAATTCTTTAATGGAAAATACATATTTGTGACACCCAGCTGCGATAAAATCTTGCCGTCGTATCGCAATATTTTTATCTAACTGTAAATGGCTAATCTTTAATGTAGAGAGAATTTTTATTTAGATAGAGCGAAATTTTTTAGTAAATTTAGAGGAAAATATTTGTGATACCCAGCTGCGATAAAATCTTGCCGTCGTATCGCAATATTTTTATCTAACTGTAAATGGCTCGACAAGCATTGCGGGAAAACGGCGTGTCGGTTCCCTCGAGGTTCTTATCACCTCTCGATTATCTCGAAAATTAGGTTTCTTCAAACTCATTCGCAGTGCGCCCGAATGGGCTACCAGGATATTACCTCGAGGTTTAATCGAAGTTATCGATAAAACCTTTATTAGAGGTTTCTTCGTGCGAAACAAAATGCGACTTTTCTCCACTTAATTAGATTTTTCTTAGCCGCGTTTTATCTCTCCAATTAATAGACTATTAATTAATTATTATAAAATATCAGACACAATAACACAGTATTAAATGTACAATGTAAATTATACATATAAATAATTTTTCTGCGATATAAGAAAAATTGATAACTTAATATTTAAAACAAGATAGATTGTAAAAGAAAGTTTCTATAAATCTCGTTAAATTTTCAATAATCTCGACATTATATGTTAAATTAAATTAATGCATAAAAAATACACAAGCAAAACTAGCATAAATATATGTGACTGGTAATAGAATAAATTAATTGGTAATATATATATGTATTGTAAAGTTTATGATTAGCATTTTAATTTACGATACACTTTTTGTGGCTTGTTTTTTTTTTCAATTCGCAGTTTTTAATTATTTTTATTTAATTAATATCAGTACTAGCATATTTTTACATTTTATTACTTGTGAAAAATTAATTTTCCGTCTCTCTCTGGAGCTTATTTTTCTTTACTGTCAATTATTTCCGAAAGAATTAGATTTGTTCGTTCGCAGTGCGAGAAGGACGAAATCTTATTCCGATGGATCCGAACGGGCTATCGGATCCTTACGTTAAGCTGAAGTTAATCCCGGACTCGGACAACGTGAAGAAGAAAACAAAGACAATCAAGTCGAACTTAAATCCAGAATGGAACGAGACAATCAGCTTGTAAGTTCCTTCGCCGAGTCAAGTTTATGTCGGACTATTAGATATTTATTTTTGAAGATTAAGATGTTTGTGTTTTTTTTTAACGATAAAACATTTCGAGATGTTTCCTTCCAATTGAGCTTCATGAGTATTACATAAATGAGTATTACATAAATAGTACACGGTTTTGCTTATTTATTAAAGTAGGTACCGAAATTGAGTAAATTCGTAGAAGTGAATTTAACGATTCCAGTCTCTCTAAAATTATCTCTAAGTTCTACAAAACATCAAATTATATAAAAGATTGTAAATGTATATCAAATTTTATTTTTTTTAATTTTATATATTTTGAATGTATTTATAATTTTAATGTTTTTTTTATCAAAGAATTATATTGACATTATTGAATAAATTATATGAAAACAAGTAGATTTTTTAAATATGAATCAAATGTTTCTATATCAAGCTCTCTATTTTATGACGTATCAAAGAATCGATCACTCAAGTAGGAAGAGCACATCTTGAAATTGAATTAGAAGAGCTTGCAAGAGAATCGCTGTTCTTGCGAGATAAAGCAGGGCTTAGCAATCTGGCTTTTACTATTAGCGACATGAAACCGGAGGATAAAGATAGGCGGCTGTTAATCGAGGTATGGGATTGGGATCGAACGTCCAGGAACGATTTTATGGGATCCCTATCTTTTGGCATATCGGAACTTATCAAAGCGCCTGCGAGTGGTTGGTTCAAGCTCCTAACTCAAGAGGAGGGTGAGTTCTACAATGTACCTGTTCCTGAGGAAGGCGTCGACCTCGCCGAGCTTAAAACCAAAATGCGGGTATTTATTTACTTGGCAAATATTGCAATTTAAAATACATTTAAAATTTAGGAGCAGAAAAATAAATATTTATTATTTTTAAATTTGAAATGAAATGAAAAATTAATGAAGAAAGTCTTTTTTAAATAATCTATTTAAAATTATTTTTTCGATAAATATAACGAAGCAATTTCAAATAACACATTCGAAATGTGATATTTACTTTTTGTATTTTAAAAAATATAACATTGCTTAGATATCTAATAGTATGACTCATACAAGGGCCATTTTGTGGACTTTATTTAGAAAACTTCGGTGACGAAGAAGACACATGCAACCCAGGATAAAGATGTTCCGCACAATATGGGCAAGAGCGATCTGATACGAGCCAGCGACTTTAATTTCTTAATGGTACTCGGCAAAGGCAGCTTTGGCAAGGTGAGTTTTGCCATCTCGAGAGGTGACTATATACGACACGATTTCGACTGCATTTCTCGACTTCGGGATCAATAATTAATTCAAGGTCTTGCTGGCGGAGAGAAAGGGAACCGACGAGCTGTACGCCATCAAAATTTTGAAGAAGGACATCATTATTCAGGACGACGATGTGGAATGTACGATGGTGGAGAAACGTGTACTCGCGCTCTCGAGTAAACCACCCTTCCTCGTGCAATTGCATTCTTGCTTTCAAACAATGGTACGAATAATACTTTGCTTGCTAGTCCGGATTACGTAAATTCCAAATTCTAAATTAAAAGATAAATTGACTGAAAGTTAATTATTTTATTTAATTAGATAAATATAAATTATATACAATATTTAGGTAATTTTTTATTTTTTAAAGCTTTTGTATTTTATATTATAAATTTTAAAATAAATGATAAAATATTTCAAATACATTAAAATGGAAGATAAAAAAATTATGTTGTAAGAGAGAGAGAGAGAGAGAGAGAGAGAGAGAGATACAATATGTGTATGAAAAAAGTAAAACTCTCGGTTACGTCTTCAAAATTTGATTCAAACGTTATCAAAATGGCATAATCTGCTTATTAAGTTTTCGATTAAATTTTCTCAAAGAGGAGAACATTGAGCGAAAAGCACATAAGCTCTCTTGTATATGTGCGCGATGAAAGATTAATTGAAACACTTACTTGCGGTCTTACAAAGATGCGCTTTCTGCTTTCCTCCTCAGGATCGACTATACTTCGTAATGGAATACGTGAACGGCGGCGATCTGATGTACCAAATACAGCAGTGTGGCAAATTTAAAGAACCGGTGGCAGTGTGAGTATTTTAACGTCCGTGAACGTGCTCCGCTTTAACTTGTGGATCGATATCCTTAACTCTATTAAAGCGCCGTGAGACGATGATGACGACGCGGCAACTCTCGAGCGATTCACGTTGTCGAACTTTCTCGACGCGTTTCGAATACGAAATGAAAACCAATTGTACGGGAGATGTACGTCTTTCATCAACGGTGGACATTTGCGAGCAGTTTGTGTCGCTTCGTCGTCTCATCGTCGTCGTGACTTTATAATTCTGCTCTCATTAATCTCGACCGCATCGCGAGACCTCAAGATTTAATTTATCTCGCGTCCACAAAGTAAAGCACGTTCCACCAAGTTTCATACGAATCTCATTTCATTCAAAGCTCCTTGATCTCGACACGACGACTAGAGCTTTGCTCTCGCATCGATTTACATGTCTTCCTTCGCATTTGCAGATTCTACTCGTCTGAGATAGCGATCGGCTTGTTCTACTTGCACTCGCGCGGCATCGTCTACCGTGATCTCAAGCTCGACAACGTTTTGCTGGATCAGGACGGCCACATAAAAATTGCCGACTTTGGCATGTGCAAGGAAGGCATCTCCGGCGATAAAACTACCAAGACCTTTTGCGGCACGCCCGATTACATAGCACCGGAGGTGAATGTTTACACAAAACTTGTCACAATATTGTCTCGAGATATTAGCGAATGATACACATAGGATATACACTGTCGGTTCTTTTTACGCAAATTTCGAAATCAATTTTTCTTCAGCATGAAATGAATATAACAAGATATTTTTCGGACATTTGTTCATAGTTTTTTTAACTTTTAGCTTTAGTTTTTCATGTCTCGGTAGAATTAAATTTTAAGAAAAAATTAAAATTTTGTTAAAGTCAATTTTAAATTACAAGTAATATTGTACTGTTTCTTTCTGCTTCTGAAACGCAATTTTCCATAATTAATCTTTTATTCTTGAAAATTACTTTTACTGCGAAAAATTGAATCTGAAAATTTCACAAGAAATAATATCGCAGTTTTCAGCCAATCCGGAAGGATATCCGATAAAATTAAACTGAAATTTCGGGAGTAGCTTACCTGTTGGAATTGCATTGTTCTCTATATTTGCACAGATTATCCTATATCAACCTTATGGTAAATCCGTGGATTGGTGGGCTTACGGTGTATTGCTCTACGAAATGCTAGTGGGTCAGCCACCGTTCGATGGCGAGGACGAGGACGAACTTTTCTCCGCTATTACGGACCATAATGTCAGTTATCCGAAGAGTCTATCCAAAGAGGCCAAAGAAGTTTGTAAAGCGGTAAGCATGTCTTCTATATCCCGGTATTACTTCGATAGCTTCCTGGAATTTAAACAAGTTTAAGCAGAGTTTTAGACCTATTTAAATATGTTCTAAAAGAAGTAATCTTCTTTATAAACAAGCTTTAACTTTTTTACATCTCCGATAAATAATTAAATAAAATTCTGTTTTTCGCTGATGATAAAAATTTCATTTTGTAAATGTAATTCTGAAAATTCTACACGAAAGTTTCCTTGCTGAAATTTAATTTATTCTCAGAAAATATGTATATGTGGATGACGTATCTGATTATGAATTTTTAACTCGCACGAAATTTATTCGTTACACAGTTTCTAACAAAGAACCCAAGCAAGAGATTAGGATGTGGAGTGCGCGGCGAGGATGACGTGCGGAGCCACGCATTCTTCCGGCGTATCGACTGGGAAAAGATAGAGAATCGCGAGGTGCAGCCACCGTTCAAGCCAAAGATTGTGAGCAGACAAAATATTTTCCTGTTTATTTAAAAGACAAAAATATTCTTTTAACGATCGTTTTTTGTTCGCGCAGCAACATCGTAAAGACGTGAGTAACTTCGACAAGCAATTCACCTCGGAGAAGGTAGAACTAACTCCCACGGATAAGCTGTTCATGATGAACTTGGACCAGACGGAATTTATGGGTTTCTCGTATCTCAATCCAGAGTTTGTGCAACACATTTAAGCGGAATATTTTATCTCAGGCTCGTATCTATCCTTCACACTTCATTCCTCGTCGTTCATCTTTCTCTTTGTCTCACTCAGGGCTCTCTCATCCCCCTATCTTGCTCTCTATCGTTTTCTCTTTCTTTCTCTTTCTCTCTCTTCTCTCTCTCTCTCTCTCTCTCTCTCTCTCTCTCTCTCTCTCTCTCTCTCTTTCGTTCTATCTCTACATCTCCGAATCTCGCTATAGCATTTTTGTGATAAAAATGAGCGAGAATTTGGTGCGCTGTCATTTTTGAATTTTGTTAAGAATTCACGCGAGACTCTTCGATGTATTTGTAAGCGTCCGCGCGATAGCCAATTGTATCACTACGCTGTAAGTAAGGTAAAACAAGAGAAAGAAATACGGCGTAGGTGCTGGGAATACGAACGAATTCAAATAGCTGTCGCAAAGAAAAGACGAAGTCTCAACGGACGGAGAAGTAGCATGCAAAAAAATGGCTCGGTAAGAACGGAAGTTTCAAAATCAATGTCTTCGTTCTCTGCGTATATATTATTATGCATTTACTTCAGTAGTCTCTCTACTGTCGCCTTCCAGAGTATATATAATATATATATAGGACGAATGAATGAATATACATATATGTGATTATATATACATATACATAATATATATATATATATACACATAAAATCATTACGGTATATATTACATATATATACATAAATAATATATATATTATACATTATAAATTTCTATCGATATTTCGTTAACGTTGCACTTCTCGTCGGTTTAATCTTCTTAAGTAGCGGATCTTTAGAAAGTTGGGTCCTTATATTCTCCGGACCCAAGACGGGTTAAGAATTTATTAATGCTACGTCAAGGTCGATTCTCATATTAACACACACACACACACACACACACACACACACACACACACACATATATATATATATATACACACACATAGACCCATACATGTATACATATAGGAATATACTCACACGTAAAACATTCACACGAACACAAGTGATACGTCTGATATTTTTTCCTTTCTCCTTTATTCGTTGCGGAAGCACGAGTCTGAAGTGTCTTTTCTAGTTTTTCTCCGTCGTTCTTTGATAGGAACGCGGATACGACTGCAGGAATCATGCTCGATAAAAACTCTCGTATGTATACATTATACCAGTAAGTAATGACACAGAACGCGATTTTGATGCGAGCCGGGGATGCGCTGAGTCGATCGCGGCCTGTTAATATTAATAAGCGAGGAAGTCATCGCGTCGAATAATATGGAGGACGGCATCTTATAATACAAAAAAATCTTGCATTTATGCTGGGAGAATAAAGTCGACAATATAAATTCCGGTGTGTGCCCGTATAAAGTTTCATGTATTCTTCGTTAATGTAATAATATCGCCGTACGATATTATTTGACACGATAATGTCTTGCACGCGGAATGCGCGAAAAAAAGACGATTAACTCGATTAACACATACTTTCTGTGTAAAGAATTTTTTACCGCACCGTTATACAGATTTTCTGAGTTTACGTGTGATATATATTATTATAGATACGCAACACAACGGGAAGAATTTCTTCTCGCAGTATCATTATATAAGGATGAAGATTTTGTATTAAAATAATGATAAGCATACTTATCGCTTATAAATACGCTTATCATTATTATTATGAATAATATTTTGCGAGCGAAGAATTAATTGGTTTTGCATTGTCTTGACAATCGAAAGGATCAAGAACAGAGTCTTGATCCACTTAGCGCTTCCCTCGCACATCTTTGTAATTATCGGTGCGCTCGCTTTTCTCGTCGAGTCTTTCTGAGATTATCTCGTCGAGAAAGGCATCATCGGAGGGAGCTTAGGGAAACTTAGTACAAGCGAGTATCTAAACACAAAAGGAAGGGCATACTCATGCAATGTTTTTCTTCTCTGTTTTTTCGACGGTCGCGACGCGCGCGTGCGATCAATAGCGTTGTTAATAATTATAATTAATTAATGCGCATATATAATTATATTGTAGACGTAGTTAACGAGCTCGCAACGCGAGCTTCTCTTCGTTTTTGTACATCCGGTAAATCGACGAGCAACTCTTCTTCTTATTTGTACGACGCAGCTATAAATTGATGCAATTAAAACGAAATATAAGATTACTAAGGCGAATAAAAAATAATAGCGGAGCTTTTTTTCGCGAGGATCAAATGGTTTTATATCATCTTTGTTTTCCGAATTTTTACAGCACGAATTGTGTGCAAGAAAATAATTGCAATTGCTCATCGAGTTGCCGCATAAAATTACAAAATTCTCAAAGACGAGCTTGTATCCTTTTTCTCGTCTCGTGTCCATCTTTTTACGTATAAGCGATGAATCTTCAGGATTTAATCGCGTCTCGACAAATGATATAATTTGAATTGCATTCGAACTCGCTGTGTGATATTCTCGATACAACAGAATCGTGAAATTGTGCTTACCAAGTAATGAGATTTTTTTCGATACATCTCGATATCTCTTATAAAAATTATATTACATTTCTTTCGCATTGCTATGTGTAAAGATACATTTTTATGGACGCTGCCATGGTGAAAAGATACGAGTTCGCGTTTCTTTACAATTCCGAGAGTATCAGTTATTATTGAGCGTGTTTCGATAATAAATAAAAAATTTAATGTAACTTTCTCGCCCCTTTTCTCGACGGGCGATTCGATCTTGTTCTTCGATCGGGCGTCTTCGCGTAGTCTCGCCGCGAAAATCACGTTCTCATTTTTTAACGTCGAGCTGTCTGATATAATTTCAAGGAATACGTAACTCACAAATTTATCGGTCAAACCGGCAGAATTTTTCGTTGTTCTTTTGTGTATCGTACATACGTTGCTAATTATAATTTATATACATATATTGTTATACTATAATTATATTATTATTATATTATTATTATTATACATATATATAAGTCGATGTGGTAGTTGCACACTAGCTCTCTGCATATCTTGTGTTCGTTCGCATTATTCTTATGATTATATTTTTCGCTTATCTACGATATTATAGCACTAATTTTAAGTAATGTAATAAAAAAATTATTGCGCCTGTTAAAATAAAATATCATTCCACGTTCGCAGTCGAACAAAATTTTGATGCTACTTTTATGAAAGGGGTATGACTATAAGATTCGTTATTATTGTTAACGCGGACCTCAAACATCCATTGCAGGAGCCTGCGCGATCTGCGCCCGAAATCTATTTTTGTACTAAAAAAAGGATGAAATTTACAAAAGGGAGGCTGTGTTGCCTCTCTTCTTTTCCTATGCGCGTCTATCTAGTAGATATCTCGTTGTCACATTTGTGGCATTTTCTTGTAGCGCTTTCTAGTTTGGTCCAGGTGTTAGAAGAAGGCATTATTAAGAGTAACAGATAAACCGCGTATTTACGAGAAAGAGAAGATGCGTTGTTGAGACAGCAAATTTTGACAAGAAACAAAAATACGATTTCGCGACAAGATATTTTATTTGTTTTAAGTAGACTGTTATCTATAAACAAATTATGTTATAAAAATTTAATTCTAAACAGTACATTAATTTAATATGAGAAATCTGTATTTATTGTAACATCTTTTTTTCTATTTATTTGTATTTATAAAATTACTGTTGTTTTTCGAAAAATAAGCATGTAGCTAAGTGTGTATGATACGTATACGAGTACGATGTGTGTTGTTACTTTTACGAATAAAAATTTTTGTGTACTGTTTAGAATTGAATATGAAAAAGGCGCATTGTGTCTGAGACCGACACTCTCATTTTTGGCAATCCACTTTCGCTTCTGCGTAATCGATCAGCGGCTGAATAATTAATATTTGAGAAGTGGTAAAATCTTTAATGAGGAATATCAAATAAGTGGTAGTGATTTTATAACAATTGTGCTGGTTTTTGTTTTGTTTTTCTTAATAGAGACGTGGCGTGAGATATCAGCTTCCGCAGCAGCTGCGTCTCTATTGTCGCGATCTTTCTGACTATCTCTTTCCTTTCCTTTCGCTCTCCTTTGAACTGTGTTATTCTGTCTCTCTTTTTTCGGGACTCTAGTTCTAGGTGTTCGATCTTTCTGGGAAGGTAAGGAGTAGAGTATATTCTCATTGATATACAATAGTTTCAAGAGGAAATCGAGTACGCGTGTTGGTCGATCGTGGTTCTGAACGAGAAAATCCGGGAAAATGACGTCGAATCTCTGCTCAGAGATAAAACGAATCATAAATGGATACATTAACAAGAAGAAAATCGAGAATTAAATATTCAAATATTTAATATTAATGTTCACTTGCTCTATCTTTGCACATAATAATTTTTTGTGCACAAGAAGATGAAGATTATTTTTCCAATGAGGAAAGAAATAAAATGTACAATGTTGAAGAGGTACACACACACAAGACGAGATATTTTTCCTTCAGAACCGTGGACCGTGATGAAGAACAAAGTTCGTGTGTACGTAACGCATTCGCGGCGATATTAAATGTTTAGATATTTCATATGCAAAATATCTTGGCAGCACAATTTGCTAGCAACATCTGATTTTAATACACTATATAAGAACTTATTTAATTATAATTTCTGTAATGCGCACCTTCTGTAACGTATACATATATTTATTTCTTTGAGGTTCCAAGTTCTTGAAAAAAAATCCACTATGTAATTACCCCTATAATTAGTCGACAATTTCTAATTTCATTAATAACGCTGCAGATGCGTGCGCACCACGCGCGTAATCGCGGAGTGTAGTCGAGCGGTTGACTAGCACGTTATACTTAGATCTTAAGTTAAACGAGAAGAGTAGCGAATAAAAAAGAACAAAAAAAAAAAAAATAAGTAAGAAAATAGAAAATATAGAGAGACGTAGAATAATATAAATATATATATACATATAGAAGAGAATAATCGCGCGTAGAGCTCTATTTCATCCTACCATACTGTAATTAAATCTGTCGTTCTCCTGATTACATGCCCATATATAATACACTTATTTACACATACATGCATATTTTTAAGATGTTTTGTGCATTTATAATGTCGCAATAAAAGTTCCGAATCTCTCTCGTGTCATGATAAGATTTGTTAGAGCCCCTGCGCGACAATATCTCGTCTTTGTGTAATAAGCAAAATTCTTAATATTTATTTAATATTTGAATCTATCGAAATCTTTTGATAATTCGATGAATATATTCTTACGTATAATATGTTATTATTTAAAAAATTTATCTTGTATATTATGTCTATATTTTTGAAAAATTTTTTAAATTGTTATATAATATAAAAAATTTTTCTAATGAAAAAAGTAAAATCAAAAAATTTGCTAATGAAATAACTCGAAAGTATTGATTGTCAAAGGAATTTTTATTTATAATGAATACATTTTTGCAATTAATTATTTCTCTCTCCTTTATAGGCACATACTAGTATGTTGAATGATGTTTGTAATATGTGTTGTTCTTTTTGTTTAATGCTTATTAATAAAGCCATTTTTTCTCTTTAAAATATTAATTAATTTTGTTGAAATAATTGTAATTCTAAAGATATGTTAAAAACTTTTCTTGGTTCTTTTACTCATTTCATAAATATTGTATAATTGTGTTTGCTGAAAAAATTAAGTTTTAATGAAAATTTACAATGATTAGTAATTACACATTTAATATTGGTGAATTACTATGTAAAACGATACTTACATATGTGGAACAATAATATAAAAGTACACAGTATTTTATAAATGTTTCGCGCGCGCTATATCTTTTATGATGTCTTTCATGAATTTTTAATGTAAACATAAGAGATTCTTTCTAACTATTGTATAGAATATAGATGATTCGAACGATCGGAAAAGATCTGCGAAAAGGACAAATATGATTGAACTTCGAGCGACTCGATTGTAGACGTAGAATTATAGAGTGCGCATATCTAATCATAAGCGATGCGTGCGTCAAAATTAGAAAAAGAACCACAATGTTGAATCTTAATAAAATAGCTGACAGAAATCTAATCTTTACCTCTGTAAAAATAGCGATATATTTCTCTCCTTCCCCCAAGAATCTTCTAATTTCTTTTTCTAAATCAATAAATATCAAACTTTTTTCCTTAAACACATCTCCTTTAATCTTACATTAGTAAGAGAGAGATGTTGATTTTCCAATTTTCTTTCTCTCTCTAGACGCGACACAGAGCTTCTGATTGGTCCGCGCGGTTTTTGACATTTCGCAGTTGGCACCACTGGAGGACGCCATGTTCCTTCTTCGCTTCGTAGCCGCACAGACGCGCGAACGTTCGTCGATCGAATTTGAGCGGAGTTTTCGGGGAAAAACGCGATAAAGTGTATTACGCGAGTGAAATTGTGATTCGCAATAGATTTCGGAATCGCGAGATCGTCGCGGAATCGATCGAACGGACGGGATCGTCGCGATATTTCGCAATTACTTCAGTCGCGGCGACAGTTTTTCAAATGAATCTTGGCGAAACTCTCTCGCGAGTGTATGTGTGTGTGTTATGGATATTCAGCGACCAGGCCGGCGTCCTATTGTTCCAGGGATTAAGGATTTCCTCCTGCGTTCCCTTTTTCGGTGAGTGACAACATGAATGTTGTTCTTGTAAGTGTAGAAAAAAGCACCGAAAAATGTATATCGGTGAATCAACATGGCGGATACGGTAACGCGAATATGTATCTGTTGAATTGTTCAATTTCGCAAAATATTTCATCCGTAAGTGTTCTGACGATGTGGCACTTATAATTTTCTTACACGTTGTGCATTATTTTTATAGTATATTTTTGAGTTAGGAAGAGAGAGAAATAATTTTTTTAAACTGATGAAAAACAAATATCTATGAATATATAATATTGATTTATTGTATTATGTTCGTACTCGCGTGTGTTCTACGCTATAATAATTCTATGCTAGAGTCGACAAAAATTGGCTAACACTTTGGACTACCTGGTATACAGAGTTGGTTTGATTTCTCTCGTCGGTAATTATTTATTACAGTATATTTCGGCTATGTACAGTTTTACTAAGGTCGCTCCCTTGCCGCGAAAATAGCTCTATACGAAAATTTTGTAAGAAAATTTTTATAACAATTTGACAAAACTAAGAGGGGGAAATAGATTAGGAAAAAGAGAAAGAAAGAATCAGAAAAATAAAAAGAGAGAATAATAATGGTGAGCTATTAAAAATCGTGGCACGTTATTAGAAATTGTGATGAGTACTTGCTTAATAATCGTGTCTTCCTATGTACAATTTGTAAAACGTCTCACTAAAGCTAAAAATAAACGTCTACGCATTATGTATTACGTAAATACATATGTAATGTAAAAAAAAGTATACTCGTCGTCGAAGACGAAGTGGGGAAAATGTTCCCCCCTAATTCTACATGATGTGAAAATGTAAGAGTCTAACAAACCGCGGATCTCTGCACATTCAAAGATCTATGGAAGTAGGAATCTGTACAGAAATTTCTAAGAATTCGATATTATAAATTTACAGATTCCAAATATCCGTGCAATCGTGAATTTACAGATTGAAAGATTCGTGGAAATATAGATTTATAATTCCACGGATTTAAAGATTATAAATTTACAGACTGAAAAATCTTGAAGAGTAGAATTGATAAAATTTATAAAGTAAAAATTTATAAAAACACAAATCTCTGTAGGTTCTGCGATTCTATTAAAATGTAGATTATGAAAAAATTTGAGTCTGTGGAAGAAAATATGTGGAATCACGGATATACATAAGAATGCATACACGATTCTTGATCTATGGATTTAAAGATCCGCGCGATCTATACAAATATATCTATACTTAATATATGTGTATACATATATAATTGATCGATTGCGTTAAATTGGGATGTACATGCTATGCCGCGAGCCTGCTCATCGGCCGAAATACTGCACGGTGCTCCGAAACATTACAAGGCATCGCCACTTGCTTCTACTTACTTAAAGAGTCGTTCTCACGATTTCGAGCATACTAATCTCATTTCATTAATATTAGCCTATTGCTCAATAGGATTCTATTCTTGCAGATGCATTTAATTAAATGTTCGCATATATGCTATATCAGTGAAGTGTAAATGTAAAATTCATAAGGCAGCATTCACACGATTATTAAAAGTAAAAATTTCTATCTTTCTAATGCCGATGAGAATTGTCAGATTATAATTATAATTAATGATAATACATTTTTTTATCAGTTACAATATTAATGTCGCATATTAATTTTGTTCGCAATTATAATTCGATATCTCACACACACGAGAAACGATCTAGCATAAAATGTGTCATTCTCAATTTACGATACACCAAACTTATTATCTAGATAAGATTCAGAAAATTACTAGCCAAATAATAATTGAGTATTAAATGTAAAATACCAATTTTTTTCTTTTTATTTCATTTTGCGACACAAGACCATCCATTTTCCGCTCTATTTTTCCGCGACCCTGTTAGTTGACTCGCGATGCTCCCTGTCGGATCTATAGGATTCCGCGTGAAATCGTGACACACACACGTGAGATCCATATTTCCAGGCGTCATGGCTGCTGTGACCCGCATAAAATTTCCGTGCAACGACAAACTATCGTTCCTAGAGACACTCGAGTCAGAGTCTTAAAAATAACGATTACAAGTCCAAAAACATTTAAGGAATTTAAATTCCACACTGTGTTGACTTCGACGAGTTTAAAATTAAATTAATTACAACATATTTGGCCCACAAAAATTATTGTATATTATTATCATAAGAATAATTTTGTACTTTGTAAAGCAGATTTGTGAAAAAAATATTTACTTTCAACCTAAATTTATTTATTACAGCTTTTAAAGAAATTATTCCAATTTCGAAAAAAAAGATTTAGTTTCATTATTTTGAATTACAAAAATAACATAAAATTGCAAAATTATATACAGTGTGTTATATACATATATGTATATATTGTCAATATGTCAATGCTTTATTTTTTCTGAAAAAATATGCATTTTTTAAATTAGCACAATTTGTAATTTATATTCTCTCAATCACAGTAGATGAGAAATATAATTTTTACACAAAAGCTTTTTCGTATATAATTGTTATTGGCGTGATATCAAATATTTTATTGTGACAAAGTTATGAAAAGGTACTCTGGCTCGAGTGTGTCCCTAGTCACTACTCGACGTTACTAACACGGGGGCACAGGAACTCACCAACCTTAATGCATATTGATACGAAGTGGTGACTAGTAGATTTTCGTCGAGCACTCCGCCGCGTCCGGTCTGTTCCCGGCAACAGAAGGAATTTACCAGGGATAGAAGAGGAGATAATATCGCAAAACATATATCGAGGAGATAAAGTTTACAAAACGAAATAAAAAATTTCTACAATTTTACGCTATTACAATATTTTATAACAGCACGATTATATTTCTGACAGCGTTTCAGCTATTTATATATTCCTTTGCGTTGTATATTGTGTCGCGTAGACGGCGAAACATTTTCATTCCGCGCATTAACAGTCTATCATCGTTTCTCATTATAGATGACAGACTTATAAGTATAAGTACCACGTGCATATTATGTTGCTCTATGAATAAATAAGCGTTTATGAATATTTATTCCGAATTAATCCGTCGCGATATCTGTCAGAGACTGTTAAGTAGTGTGCTTTATTCCTCGTGTTAATCGCGTGTTTACCGAGTATTTAAGTATCAAAAACTTTATCTCACTTAAATGGAAAATTCGACTTCAAGAATCGATTCTGACAATTCCTGAGAAAATATATATATATTTTTTAATTACTGCACAATCTTTAAAGATATATACATCGCGAAAAACACTATTTATTTCACAACGTCGTATCTCCTCTTCTTTATTGTTCGCGGTTATTAAAACATTATCTCGAAAAAAAAGATAAAAAGGAAGGGCTAGGATAAAGTATTTCTACATGCGTACAGAATGTACAAGGAGTTTCGCGCTCACATGAGAGTCTTACTGCACATCCCGCGGGTTTTAGAGTTTTTGGAGGCCGAACGCGGCGGCGGATAAAGTGCGCGATTTAATTAGTCCGCGGTAAATGGGTGGAAGAATTCGCCGAACAGTCCAACTGGTTCATAATCCCTCGACACCTCGTAGATTTTCTCCACTGCTCGAGATGGATGCCGAGCCGCTTGCACTCGTGCGCGTAAGCCGTGAAGGACTGGCAGTAACAGTGCTCGGTCGGGCACTCGCACATGTCCTGAAGACAGGCTTTGTAGTACATCATCGGGTTCACCTTTCTGTGGCACGGATCGAAGATTTGCGATCTCAGTCGAGTGCACAGCCTAAAATTGCGGAGAAGTAAAATTATTACGTTGGAAATAAGTGAAATTTTGAATATGTAATGATATCGGGGACGATAAGTGAAAGAATAACAAAGAAAATAATAATTATCACTCGTATTAGTTAATTTAGAATTGTTAGTTTAAGTAGCAATTTAAATCACATTTCATCTTGGCAATATTATTTTATACAATTGAAAATATTTTGAGAATAATAGAATTTTAGAGAATTTTTTTTTATATTTTCTAATTTTTTTATTATTTTTGAATTTGTGAAAAAATATTATATAATTTACAAAGAGATAGAAAAAATCCATGCAAATTACCGGTGATCCTTTCTTCCTCGGCAACGTTTGTTGTCTTTTTCTACTGTTGAATTTCCTGATTTTGTCGGATGTCGGATACATGCTTTCTTGGAGATCACAGACCAAGAATTGCCGAATTTTTGCACGTCCTGCAGCAATTTACCGTGTCGTGACATGAAATCGTCTCTGGGCAGAGAATTGAAGTTACCGCAGAGACCGCACAATCGACCTCTGTACGACGAAGGCACGGACACCTCGACAAAGCTGATACCGTCCCAGAGAATCTTGATCCCGATGTCCGTGCTGACGACCACGTTGTCATCCGTTATGTTGATGTTCAATCGCTTTTTTTCCATGCTATAAGGAAGGCCCACCTTTTTTCCGTTTACCTTCACTCTCATTTTTTGGCCAAGGTTTACTTTCAAGTCGCCAATCTGCAACACGGGACACAAATAGAACAAAAGTTTCTTTCTTCCGTCTGATGCGACTACTTTTGATAGAAACGAGAAAGCCTTGCCTCAGGGTAGACTTCGTTTCGCAATGCTATTAGTCAAGCATTCAAAACTTGTAACAGTACATGTAATTCGACAAGAACGTTGCAAACATTAGAAATTATATGAATTTAACAAGAACGTCGCAAACATCCTAACGTAAATAATAGAATTTACCGGTGCACAAGGACTTGGACACGGCCAAGATTTTAAATATGAAATAATCTCTTAATATTTGATTTTAAATGAATGCAAGAGTAATCGCATCGGGAATGATTATCAGCATTCATCTAAATTATTATTATTAGATATATTAAATAAATGTGCACCATTCTAACGAAAAATTATTTAGTTTCGTTAGGATAACGCATTGTCATCCGCGATTTTTATAAATAATTTATATTTTACTTATATTATATAATATGATTTTAATTAGTATTATAATATATAAATATGTACATATATGTATATATATTTATATACATATTATATATAATTTTTATTATATTATAAAATATAAATATGTCTATATGTATATTCCATTCAATTAAAAAAATAATAAAATAATATTTAAATATATTTCATATTATAATTACACTGATATTTTCATTGGCATTAATTTAATGCACTCACTTTCAAAGCGATGGTTTTGGTCCACGCTGAAGTTTTTGTCTTTTTCGCGTCGTTAGTTACACGGATGCTGAATGTGTGACCGACACAATCGGTGACCAGTTGGTATTTGCATGCCCCCTTGAAGGTATAGAATTTACCGTCGAACGTGCGATAGTGCGGATCTCCGAAAACCGTGCAAACTCCATCAACTGAAAGAATCGGTAATTTTTAGTTTTAAATATCAATCGCATATACTATCGTATACTTCGTTATCGCGTAATATCTAAGTCTACTTACTTTCAACGCATCGCGCACAACATTGACCTTCCGGATGTTCTAATTTTGAGCCTGGTGGGCAAGGACTCACACGCGGACACATAAGCATTGCGCAGCGTACTTTGCCCTCTTTGCAAGTGCACGTCTTGCAAGAATCAAGCTTCCAATCATCGCCATCCTGCCTAGGACAAAAAAGAACGTTTAAACCACAGAACAAGTAAACTTTTAATCCTGAGAAAATTTATTTATATTTTATTTTTTAAAAAGTATTTTAAAGGTACATTAAAATATATTTTTAACCTTAGTTGAAAAATCTTAGTTCAAAATAAGAATTTATATTTGCCGAGACCATCACTCCCTATAAGATTCCATCGCAACTTTGATAAGAGAGAAACATTTTTAAATTTCATTTCTCGAATAATTGTTTTAAAGTGAGCAAGAAAAATATTAAATTCCAACTCAATGACCCACTAAAAATATGCAGAAATTCATATATTAAAAATCGTAAAAAAAAAAAAACAATATACTTGGCTTTCTACTAAGCTGTGTATCAAAATTTCACAGTAGTTTTGCTCCGTTTATCTTTGATAATCACACGATTCGTAGGATCTCTGCACCTCTCTCACGAGCAGAATAAAATAATTTGTCGCGATGAAAGGCAAAAGCTCGACACTCGCCTTGTAAGTTCTTCTGCCAACAGAGCAGGCGACCCTGCTCTCCTGGATCGCCGGACACTGCGGGCAACAGCGGCCAGGTGTAGTTGTTTGATGCTCGCGGGGACATTCCAGCACCGGACAGGTATTTCTGACACACGAAAGCGTCGAATTGACGCAGGTGCAACACGTGCACAAATCCGTACAATGTCTAGCGCCCGAGTTGAGTACGTGCATGCCGAGCATGCATGCGCCTTTCGGAGGCTGGAAGAATTTTGCACTGCCTGCGCGAAGAAAAAATAAAGTTCTTTTAATTCGGATGTACACTGCGCCGCGTAAACGAAACGCTCTTTGAATCTTTTTTTTTATCTCATGAATTAATGCGAATTATTTTTTTACGATGTTCACTTTTATCTTCAATCTAATAAAATATAAAATAGGGATATTTAAAAAGACTGGTAAGTTTTCTTTTATGTCAATTTTCTGTATCAATTATATTTGAGATATTTTCACAGCTAAATGGCAATGTCTATTCTTTCGGATGACTAGATCGTAATATTACGTGATGACAATCGTAATATTACGTTATTGCGGCTGGTTTTTGCGCAATTGCGACATTGGAAAATAATCAGATTAGCGATAAAACCGGTTCGCGCCTCCGGTATATTATACGGGAGAGCGAGAAATCGCGGAATGACCTATAAATTTAAAGTGATTTTTAATTGTTTATGCAATATGATCCATTGAAAATATTTCTTTTGAAAAATGATCTCGCGGAAGAAAAATCTGATCGTTATTAATTTGCATTTACCTTATATTGCAATACTTGCGTAATAAAGCAATCTCGTATATCTTTACGTAATATTACACCCGCATACAATTATCGAGCTTTTGTATATCAAAGGAACAATAAAATTATCGTATACGAAATTTACATTTAAAAAAAGGACACGTTTAAGCAAATAATAAAATCGAACAAATAGATTTTCTTTTTCCAAACAATTCGAGCGCAAAATTTGGATAATTTTCAGCACACGATTCATTGCGATTAATGAAAATTAAATTCTTTTACCTGAACAGTGCGGGCAACATTTGCCAGGATCCCGAACTATCTTCGCGTTAGGACAATTAAGGATCGGACAGGCTAACTTCGCGCAAGTGAGATGCTTATTGTTGCACTTGCAGGTCACGCAAGGGTCCTCCGTTGTTGTCACTGATCTATCCGCGGTGGCCATCTGCCCGTTCACCAGGCACCCTATAAAGTACGACGGAATGAGATAATTTCTGCGCGTTTAATTTATTCTCTCTCTAATAAAAATCCGCCGGTTTATATTGTATATAATAACCGCATATTATACAATAATTCATTTAAAACACCTATACAGAAAAGTAAATATATACACGGAAAGAATTTACCCTGAAAATCGTGGTAATCGTGGGACAATATGATATTGGAAGAATTTTATAAGTTTCTGTGATTAATATTAATAAAAAATATTAATATGTACATATAGTGAATTTAAAATTAATCGAACATATCATACACACAATTTGTATATCTTATTATGGTGGATATTAATATTTTCATTGTGGTAAATATTTAATCAGAGAAACTCTTATAAAATTCTTCCAATACCATACATTGTCCCACGATTACCATGATTTTCAGGGTAAATTCGAAGAGAAAATCCTCTCTGTAAACACAAAAACCGTAATTATACGATTCGAAGAAGAATGCAAACAAATACCTTGCGACGACATCGTGTCACAATATTAAGTTTATGAGAATACATTTTATACGCAAAACAAAAAAAGAGAACGTCACAATATAGGCATTATCGTCCATTTGTTTTTCGTCAGACGTGTAGAAGCGACGCTGTAATTTTCAATCATTATCGTTCTCCCCTCGTTATATCGGAGAGATACATTCCAGCCTTAATTGCGCGGCGGAATGCATTGAGAAAGAAGGGAGAGTCTATCCGTGGGAAATATTTGTGAGATTGGCGTGGGTAATTAGCGGCAGCATCGCGCGCGAAAAACAAAAATGTACCTTCGCATACGGGGCAACATTGACCGGGTGGAGCTGGTTTCGGTTGGGGACAGGGCGTGTAACACTCTAGCTTTGATTTGGTGATGACGCCTCCCTTGCAGGTATATACGTGGCACGGATCCTTCTCCTCGGTCCATTCCGTGTCGGATGCATGATGAACGCCGTTCTTTACGCATCCTGCAATTCACAAAAGCGATATCGGTCCTCAAAATATATATTATCGGAAATTGCATAATTCTGAAGAATAATTCGCACGCGTCTTTTTCATATTAAATATTAGAGATACTATAATATTAATTATAATTAATTCATCTTTTCAAATACGATTATTCGTGTAATTACATACATTCGCATAAAAATTAGGATAACACAGGATTAATCTGCTCGAAATATATCTCGTAGAAATATGTGTTGTATGTAATTCAATTTTATTTTTATACTCTTAGCCTTTTCTATAAATGCAATCGCGTGCTACGTATTTTCCGGGCAGATTTTCTTGTCAGATTTTGGCGGACACTTGCGCGAGCAAGTTTACGTCGTTAACATAATTAATAAGATATGATAACGGATACGCGCGAGCATCTGTCAGCGTACATGTCATAAACAGAGAGACTGGTGATGCTAGAGTTCCCCGGGTTTATCACCGTGTCTGCAAACAGAAGCGTCTTTGTGCCCCGAGAACAATGCTCCGCCGACCAAGCATTCCGCCTTTCCTTCTTGCCGCCACCGACATATATTTCGCTTCATCTTTCTCTCCGTCTCTCTTTCTCTCTTCGTACACCTCTCTCTCACCGGTGGCGCGAGCTCGCTCGAGTCAATTAGGACGATTAGGATAATTAGTCGAATTAGCGGACGGACGGACAAACGTCCTACCTGTGCACTTGTAGCAACATTCGTCGTCCCGCGGCTCCAGCAACGCGTAGCAACCATCTGTGTTTGGGCACTGTTGCTTCAGACACTCGACGAATCCGTTCTGGAAAAAAATCGGGAAAAATTTTTAATTTTTTTTCTCACGTACATATGATAATATAACATTGAATAAGAAGTCACACATTTTTTCTTTCTCTTTCTATTGATTTATCTTATATCTTAGACAACTTCTGAGACTTCTAAACGAAGAGATAAAATTCGCAATGTTGTTCGCAATATGCTAAATCTCTCGTTGCACGGAAAAATAAATTAGCTAACATATCTAAATTTTAGTAGTCTTTACACTGTAAAATATGTGTTAACTCGACTAAATCTTTCAACTAATTATTTCGTTAATTAAACATATAAAAATATTTAAATTAAATATAACATATTAAAGCTAACAAAATGTATATTTGACTTAAATACTAATATATGTTCAATTAACAAAATAATAATTTAGTTGGAAGGTTTAGTCAAGTTAACATTTTTTTCCAGTGTATATTACAACCTGAAATTTAGTTATCTTATCTAAATTTTAGCTATGGAACAAATATTGTTTAGCTATATATAATTTAACGGAGAATTCTAGAGCTAAAAAATATTAGTTATCATAGCTAAAATTTAGACATGATAACTAAATTTTATGTGTAATATACGAACAACTAAAATTTAGCTATGATATTTATTAGTTAATTTTTTCCATGATGTGCGAAAATTATATTCTTCGCTATAAATATGATTTATTATTCATACTCTCGGAATACACAATTCGTCACACGTGTGTGCGAAATAATGTTTATAGAGATGATGAGGTGATTTGTGCCGAGATTACCAATCACTCTCGCGACATTTCGTCGAGGAAGCAGTCTCGTCACGCTTTGGCACGAGGAAAAAGCTCGCGAGAGGAATGTAGACACTCTAAATAAAACGCATTATGAATCGGGGAATTTGGTCAGCGATTGAGTCACACGCGACAAACATCGACGGCGACAAGCGAAATTTCGCCTTGATTTTTTTCTCCCTCAATCACGCGTGCTTGATTTCCGATTCCACGTCCACGTTATCGCGTTATCGCGTTCCAGTAATTATTTCTCCGATTTCGTTATCCGGATTCTATAATTAAGTCTTCGCGGATTTATCTTCTGTCAGAATTACGTAAAATAATTTTAAACGCTGACTCGCGCTATCTCTCTCTCACACATTTGTACCGAATGTGTGAGATGGGCCTAATTAGGCGTGCCGCGACAGGAAGCTGTTTTTCCCCCTTTTTTATGCTCCCTCATCTATAACGCGTATTTTTGCGCAACGCGCTTGAAAATTAATTAATTTCTGTAATTGATATGCGAGCCGAAACAAGCAGTAACGCCCAAACGAACGAAGATACGGAGACTTAGGAGAGATAACTTATAAGAGAACTTTGTTTAAAAAATATATATCTTACGTGACAATTAAAAATTCATTCTTTTTCAAAGATATGACACGTATTTTTCTAACATTTACATAAACTCGATTGTTGTTCTATTATTTAATTATCGTTTAGTCACATTTGTTCAGTAATTATACATTATTAGCATCCACTTATGTTTTTTTTACATTGCTCAGTCTGTTAATTATACATTCATTTTTACAATGCAAAAGGGATATAAATAAATAAATTATTGCAACAGGAAAAAAGAAAAGATTATATAAATTTGTAGGCAAATGAAATAAATAAAAATTAAAGCTGGATTTCTACGATAGGCAAGTAAATAAATGTAACGCGTCGGTATTCTCTTGCTTACTTATAGTCAACAAATGTTCGCTCGTCCGAGCGATTTATATGTCTCGTAAATTGCGGATGATTGATCGCGGCCGATCGCTTCGCGGCGCAACAAACAAATAATTATGTCACACGCCGGCACGCCACTCGTTGCTGCAACAGCAGCAGGCAGCATAGCGGCAAAGCGAAAACAAGAAGCCTCATCTCGGTCGGCCACGAGTCGACGAGTCAATGAACCAAACGCGCAGATAAATCGCCGCGGTCGCGCTAAGATCACTCGTTGATGCAGTCGCGAGAGATGCATCGAGGCTACGGCGGCGGTGGATCACAAGATGCACACGCAAGAGGCGAGCGTGCGTGCATATACACGTATATGCGTGCAGACGCGAATACGCATATACGAATCGATCGCGTCGAACGCGGATCGAAGTGGAAATTCCTCTCTTTGACCTCCCGAACCAGGCCAGGCTACTTTAACCCCTTTAAGCACTCCGTCACCACATGGCGTTGCCTCGCGTTGCAATGATAACGACATAATCTGCGAAATGGACTAGGAAAACGGTAGTCTTCCCGTCTTTCTCGCTCCTTCTCTCTCTTTCTCAGCCTCCCGCGCGATATTCTTTTCATCTCTCTAGAGAGAAACAGCACCGTATTGGATATTTAATTTTTCCGCGATTTTCTAAGTCGACGACGCTGTCATTCGATATATGAATGTAATGTGTATTTCGTCATATTTCTCCTCTACCGCGTTTATTCTTCTTTTGCATTGAACTACTTTGTCGCGTGTTACAATGTTACGATATATAGAACATTCGAGCTTCCTTGCCTGTATTTATATTCATGGATTCTTGAAAATCGAATATAAAGTCTATCTTATACATGGAAATTTTGTATTATTTCTCATTTTTGTAAGATTTTAATTTTATATTATAAATTGCGAACTATATATATAATAAAGACATTTCTCTAGTAGAAGAAGACTTTCTTATTTCTTTATTACATTTACAGTTTATTAATTTATTTTCTGGCTTATATAATTAAAGTTAAATAAATATAATTTAAAATAAATATTTCAAAAAACACGATAAAAAATTGTGTCAACCTACATAGTAAATTAATTTTTGTGCAATTTTGTTGTACTTAAAAATTGAAAACTCTACGTGCCATAAATGTAGAGAACTCGAAAATAATGTTTTTCGTCTTTGACATCACAAATGAACATGTATATCCAGTAACTTTCTTGTACAAGAAAAAAACGCATATAGAATTATTAAATAATTAAATATATAAATTTCATTTTAATGTAAATCTTCTATGAAGCATTATCATTTACACTGCTTTTTAATTTTTGACACTTTGTAGACACTTTTCAATTTATATACGATATGTACTAATTTTGCTTTCGCGCCGTTAAACATCGATTAACGTCTGTGGTTTACCTTACAAATGCAGTGGAAACAGCTCGTGTTCAGAATCTTGTCGACGGTAATGTCATCCCCCTCGACTTCGCAGGTCTCTCGACTTCCTGCAATCGAACAGCAAAAAACATTAGTGAAAAGGATGAACGAAATCGGAAACGCATTCGCGATACCGGCTTTACATCGTGCCGTAATAGATCGATGTATGAGCGATAGAATAGAGATGCTACAATCACAATGCAGCACATTCCAATCGATTGATCGACTTTCGTATGCTACAGGCTTCCTCGTTCCTTAGTATGTAGAATCGAGAGCTCGAGAATTTACTATTACGTTTTAAATAGCGATCACATACACGATTATGGGTGGAAATCGATACTATAAAATAAGAGAAATATAATATTATAACAAATTTTAGCAACGTTCTAATAAGTATTATTTATCGCTAAATCAATGCGATAGACTGAAATGTAGAAATAGAAGGAATTGAGTTTTTAATAGTTAAACTGAGACGGTAATTATTTTCATTGGATACCAAGTATTTTTTTCGTATAATAATAATCTTTTGTAATTGTAAAATTGCATGAGAAAGTACAAGTTTACAAATGTTTAAGATTTTTTAAGGCGATTATAATTGATTTTCTAAATTTTTAAGATAGGCCTTTTTCTTTACTCCTAATTAATTTCATTTGCTAGAGTTAAGCGCGATGTGGACGTCGTGAACGTACCTTAGGACGTACCGCGTTAAACTCTTCATTTTCCGGCAAAAATTGCGCTGTGCTGCTAGATCGTCGGGAGCCACCACCAACGTTCCCTCCCGGTTCCCTCGCACACGTATTCCTGCACACTTTAAGCAACTTTTCTGTAAAACCTTTTTTTCTCTCTCTCTCTTCTTTTCTATTTACACTTTCGAAGCGTAATCCGCCAGACTGTTAGTTCTAAACATCGAGTAATCATTCTCATTTTCTATCTTTAAATCTCCATTTAAGCGTAATTTGTTTTGTTATTCTTTATTTTATTTTTGTTTCTCTATAGGAAAAATATCACGTTTCAAGACAGAAGAGAATATCGCCTTTCTTATCGCTTTTCTTCTTACATTTTTTTTTATTTCTCCTATCAATAGAGAAAGACGACGAAGTTTAGCGTTTTTCTCCTCGAAAAAGCGCTTCGTCTACTCTGTCACTGCTCTCAGAGATTTAACGCACGTGGCGTACAGCTTTCGAGGCGACTTCGCTTCATTTATCTTTATCCCATTGACCTATTTATGTTTTTCCGCGAGAGATAGAGAGAGAGAGAGAGAAAGAGAGAGAAAGAGAGAACAATTGATTCGTTTCGTCGATAATTTTTCGGACGAACGATTGCACAACGAATATTGCCACTTTTTTGCAGAAATGACCAATATTTTTATCGCAATTTGATTTTTGGAACATTCGAGGCTAAATGTGTAGTAGTTTATGATATTTGTTACACTCCTCTAATCCCTGTTGACAGATTCCAATATTACGATTTATTAGTATTGAGGATTTTTACAAATACAATGAATTATGTAGTTTTTGAAACATACTGTCATAACAAAATTTAATTTAACATAGTGCTCTAACATCATCAGCAAAGTATTTGTGCAAGAAAAAATAATAAAAATTCTCAACAGAGAATTTTTTTACAATTTTTTAAGATGAATGAAAATACTGACATTTGATTTTATTTTCATATTTTGCGAGATTAAAAAGGGCTCATATAATATAATCGCAAAAATTAAACAGGAATCAATAAAAATAGAAACATTTATTTCAATCATCATTTTCGTAATCTCTTCCCCTGAAAATCAAACATCAATTATCAAAGTGTAAGGGATTAAATTTTGTTGGATAATCATAGTGACATCACAAGAAATTGTAAGAAATTGCAAAAGACAAGTGGCAATAATCGAAGACTTTGTTCATTTTCGAAAAGAGCTAATACTGATATTATTAATATAAATATATTAATTAGCATTTTCATGTGTGTGTTGCTTTTGCTATTTGAGAAATATTGGCACATTATATCAAAGTGCGCAGGAATGCGTGTGCGAGAAAGGACGTAACGTTGGCGTATTTGTGGTTTTTCCCCCAAATTTATTAATTTTTTTCATTTGCATTTATCGATACACATTTCTTGTTTTCGTTTATTTTGTCTGCAATTTTTTACAAAAAGACGGCGACATGTGACAAAAGCCAAACACTTGTGCTTAGTAAATTTTAAATAGCCTCACAAAGCTTTTCACAATCGCGTTATCTATTTTTTTACTTTTATTTTTCTATCCCTATTTCATCTCCATGTGTTTTCTTTTTTTTCTCTCTCTTATACTCCTCGAGATGATTGTACGGTTAAAAACTCGGAGAGCAGTCTGAAGAGAGCGCGCAATAAAAGCGGCACAAAACTCGTGCCATTCATACGTCGAGTTACACGTGCAATGAATACACATAGATAATCAGAATTTGTATGCATATATTCAAAAAAATTAACACTTTGTCTGTCATAGCGATTTTTACATGGGTTGTGTCTGCATATCTTTGATGAAATTATAATTTGCTAATTATTGAAAGAAATATATATATCTGAAAACATTTATTTCTCATTTAATTCATATCCATATGCAATTTTCGAAAATACAAAAATATTAGTACATATATGTGATATGACAAAGTGTTAAATCGAATATTAAAATTGAGTTTCAACAAAATGAATTTAATTCTGAATACATTTACGATGCTAATAAAAAAATTAGAAGATTTTAATGAAATACACAATAATGGCATTAATCTTTGTTCGATGAATATTTGACGATTACGATTACTGAAAAGATTTATTTTGCAAATTATATAAGTTTCAAATAATTGTTAAACACTATTTGCAATTAAGTTTTTAGGTTGAATTTAAATCACTAAATTTCACAATATAAAAAATAATTAAAGATAGAAAATTTTCATCAAGGAAAACCGTCTCTTCCAAATTCATCTATTATTTAAGAGACTTCTAAACATGTATAACATAGCTTACAATTAGTTTATATTCTAACAATGTCATGTTTTTCTTGACAATGGGCTCTCACTGCCAACTGCGACAGCAGAAAATTAGCTGTTAAGGAACGCGATGCATCAATCTATTTTTGTCACGAAGCTGAAAAAGATATGTCAATCCTAAACTTGGCAACTACTTGGGAAATAGCTTATAATAAGAAATCTAAGAAAATATATACAACAGACAAATCGAACGACAATTTAATCACAATAAAAATAAATCTAAATCTTTCATATATATATATATATATATATATTTCTTTTTATTTTTTCCTCTCATATATATTGTTCACTTTATATACAATAAAAATGGATGATATGTAATAAATTTGTAAAATTTACAAATTATATATATATCCGCATTTAAAATTACACGTTTCAATCGCGAACAAGAACCTATACGAATGCACTTGATCACACAGAGTACGATATATCATATACTGCCAAGCTTAGAATTAATTGTCGGATAAGTTTGCCGTGAAAACTTAATCGGTCCCGGACGGCGCTAAGACGTTTGCTTTCTCGGTCTCGAGGCGTCGGCGTGGCGCGTATATCGGAAGCGTTCGAGGAATCGTACTTTGCTCTCGCGATTTCTGCGAAATATACGACGCGAGTAGTCGTTGATTAGTCCCGAGTACGGCAATGGGGAACATGGCAATTTCTTGAAAGGCGCACAAGTGGAGGCCCGCCGTCGCGTCCTCGATTACGTTCCGCGAGGGTAGCTCAATCGCGCTCACCTCCGCTCGACAATTTCTGCGATGCAGTCAGCTGCCGACCGGTAGCGCGCCGTACGATGCACAATTTTGAAAAAGGACGAAGGGAAAGATGAAATTTACGTATTCTCGGCTTAATAAGTGGCCGTTCGGACCGAACTGCAGATTACGCCCGGTGCAATTTCCGACGAAAATTATACGCGCGTGCAAAAGGATGAGATTATTGGCGTAAATTGGACTTTAACGGACTGATCTTGAAATTAAATTTTTTTTACTCTGAGCCAATTTATTTTTATTTTCTATAATACAATATGCAGTAAGTGAAACGCATATACGTAAATCGATACAAGAGATATCACGATGCGAAATTATATAAGTATATTAGCTTTATATATATGTATACATAAAGCTGATTGTGAGTTATAGGAGTAAATTTAAAAAAATTATACTTCAATTATCGTCGTATGGATTATGCATTACATTTTTGCGTAAGCTTAATCCGTGTCTGAAGTTCGATCTTTTTAATTATCGATTATAGATTCTTCTCTTTATTGCAAATTAAAATATTCAAAGCATTTCATCATGAATGCATGCATTTATGAATGAATGAAACGGAAGTAACCTGACACGGTCTATCCTGTTTACCGCATGCTATTCTTGAGAAAGAAGTATAAAAAATTGTTAACTTTTGTTTTTTAAATATTTTCATTATGTAGCAATTAAAAAAATTAAATTCTACACTTTATATGCATATTTTATGTATATATAATATATGCGAAAAAAGAAATTTATAATTTAACCAATTATTAGAAATTAAATCCAACATTTTGTAAAAGTTTGATAAAATCTTTGATTGTCGGAGCTTTAAATCAAAACGATTCAATTAAAAAATATTTATATTTTCCTTATTTATCTTACAATAATCTTAAACAATTTTCCTTATTTATAGAAATGCTTTGAAAATTCAATTTCATAATTTTAAATATTTGTCTAGATAATCATATAATAATTTTCTAGAAAATCATGTTTTTTTTCGTATACAAATTGTTTCCATATACATATTCTTTAGACAGAATAGCTTTCGCGAAGTTACGATAAAGGATCCTAAGCATAGAATCGAAAAAACGAATTCAGGGAAAATCTGGGGCGCGCTTTAAAAAGAATTTGCTTGATTGTTTTTTTTTTCCCGACAATTGGTCGATATCGCGCAAATTTCGCAGACAAACAAAATGTCGCGAGCGAGACGGCAATGACTCCGCACGAGCCGCGAGATTTCGCGACCCGACTTTGGCGCAAATAGAACGGCAGATAATGGAGATAGACTAAGAATAGAGTATTTAAAAGAGGTAAATGGAACGCGACGGGTGCCCCGCGTGCGCGCATACAGAGATAACAAATCAGCTGAAATCGGGAATTCAATCTCGTTAGGCAACGATATTCGTGCGCCGCTCTGATAGCGACGAATGTTCTCACACATGGTTCGGTGTCGTATCGTGTAAATATCACTCGGGACAGTTGTTACGAAACGCGAATAAACGCGAGATAAGGGTGCTTTTATGTTTTTAACGCGTCCTGATTCGCGACTTTTTTGCCTTTTACTTCCATTGATTTATTTTCATTCGCACTTTGTGGCAAAAACAGTTGAAACATTTGTAACAGTACCAAAAGAAACTAATATTCTCCTTAACTTTCTCTCTTTTTTAAAAATTGAGATTACAAATAATAAAAAAATTTACTGTCGGCAAAAATAAAAAATGAAAGATTTAAATATGATGTTGGAGATCGATATTAAAAATGTGAATACGAATATATATTTATAGTTTTTAAATCTCTATTATTAATATAGCGGAATTTGATTTAATCTCCAGCACATTTTGGATGGAATGGAATTTGATGATATGATTGTTTCTTGCAATTAACCGATAATTAATTTATTCGCATTTACTCAAATAACTTTGTTGAAAGAGATTAGGAAAAATGTTATTTTCTCGAGTGCATTAACTTTGGAATACTATACAAATTTTTAGAATATTATAATATACTAATATCGATGAACATTAGAACAAATATTTTATAAAAAAATAAAAGCATTTTTTCCTTCTAATTTAAAATACATAAATATTTACTACTTTCTTCTCGAGTTTTTTTAATACTTGTATATATATTCTGAAGTTACAGCGATAAAAAATTATCAAAGAACAAGCAATAATATTTTGTAATTTCGAGTAGAGAACACTACATTGGTATCCGAATGCATTCAAACGACATCGATCGATGTTTCGATGTTGGCACACTCTTCTCTAAGCACGATCAGCTATCAAAATAACATACGCTTGCAATCGGTGCGCGTGCTTCTCCGTATGTTCTTGTAGTACTCACCTCTTATAGTTTCCGAGGTGGCGGTGCAAGCGAGATGCGCCACCGAGAGGAGGAAGGCCAGGGCCAAAGCCAAAGTCGGCGATATCGAAAGTAATCGTGTCATGTTTAGGAGAGACCTGCACCTGCTTCCTGCCACAATAATTCGCTGAAAGAACAAACGATAAGATAATGTCGTTAGTCACGTGCTTCCGGGATACTACATATTCGTCGATGTATACAATACAGTGTTTTTAAGAGATACAGATTTATATTTTATAGAGAAAAAACAACGAGCTCCAATATTTATTTATACATTAAAAATTATTTGTAACTATATATGTATATAATAATTTTCAAATGTATATAGTAAATATTAGAGCGAATCTTATAATTAGTTGCAGGATTGCAAACACAACCAAATTTTCGGGATAATTTTAGATATTTTTCGTAAGGATTAAACATTCCAAGGAAATGTTTGGAGAGCTATGGTAGATTTAAATTTATTATTAGCATATCGTCCGCCATTGATACATAATAGTCTACTGTACTTCCGCGATTTTCGCACGCTTAGATACATAAAGTTTCACCGCATCGTAATGTAATATACCTACGTCTATATATATATATATATATATTTAACCTTTCACTGAGATCACGCGCGGCATTCACGTTTTTATTTATTGGCAATTGTTTAATCACTCTCGTTTTTCGAGAGAAAAAATTAGGCGAAAGGGAAATAACTGCGTAATAAAATATGTATATGCATGTTATCGAGCGAATATGTCGGCGCTCGATGTGCATTATTCAACTCATTAAGTGCATAATGCTCTCTCCGAATGCGTCAGGTGAGAACCTAACGAGGCTCGTCAGTGCACTTTGATTAATGGGAAATTCTAGCGCATTTCGCGTTTACCTATCGATTCCTCGCGGCCGAAGGCGACTAATATCTTCTTAATCGATTACGAGGTCAGGATCTACGTAGATCGTATGTCTTTTGTATGCAACGCGAGCGTCGTTACACCCACGACGAAATGTCTCCACGCCACGATAAGGTGACTCGACAAATCTATTAATACGCGTACCTTACACTCTTATAGTTCTACTCGCCAAGAAGGCACGCACGCGGCATATCGATAGATTGTTAAAAAAAAAAAAAAAAAAAAAAATATTGCCAGCCAATCGACGAGGACCGAGAAATTTACGAGCCGATTCTCTCTCTCGATCAAATTCCGGTCGACACTTCGACGAACGCTGAGAGAATATTCCTGCAACGCGCGAATGAATAGATTGCGTCAAGTGCGCGAAGATAAGTATATTAATCACGTTCAGTTTTAGTTACTCGAGACGTTTATTTCGAAAGTCGTCTAGGTCGGCTGAGATATTTGAATCGCGCTGTGCAACGCACAACACCACGCCGTGTTTTCATCGCGCTTTTACGATACGGTAATAAATGGCAGGTTAATACGTATGGAAAATATGGATATATTAATTATACGCTTTTCTCGTGCTTTTCGACGATATATTTTCACGAAATCTACTTTCTATTTCGTACAGATGTTATCTGTCGTTCAAAGATGCTTTCTATTGTAGCATTTTTTAAAATTTTAATATGAAATGAAAATGTATTCGACTCTTTTTCTTTCAATTGTAAGTGACAGGAAACAGCTGATCTGACAGATCGATTTTAAGGAATATCATTGCCCGATACGATTCGTAGAAAATTGTGCTCCACCGTGCATAATAACGCGAATAATGACGCGCCGACACGGGATCGTTTATAATCGCGTGGATTGTTTGCACGAGGGAAGGCGCGAATAAATAACGCTCGCGCGACGCTTGTTTGCGAAAGGCCGCGTGAGAGAAGAGAGCGCGCTCTTGTACTACGTAGTAGGCTGTTTACATGCAATCTCGCAGATCTATAATCCAAATCGCAGATGCCGACAATGTAATTGGGCTGTTAACATTTCGCGCGATTACACAGGTAAATTTTGTAGCGAAAATAATATAAATTTTTGTACTTGATTTCCACGACGTACAAGCAGACTGGTCTACTATCCAATAACGATTCAGATATCATATACAAATATTTAATCGAATATAAATCTAATTTACAAATATTACTCGAACTTTTTCAAAATTTTTAAGCACCAATTAAATTTTATACTATACATATATGTCATTTACTTGAATATATGCTAGTATTTTAATAGAATGAACGTTAAAAATATAATAAATCGAAAAAGATTGAAAAATTCATATTTTGGGAGTATTACCAATATGATCTTATATTAATTTATCAAATATGACCTTTGATACTTATGTATAATGTATATATTTATGTTATTATTGCTCTAGAAAAAAAAGGTAAATTTGCGCGATTCAGTCCATATAAACTTGTGAAAGACATACGTAGGTCTCCCAGAGAGATAATACATGCGGATTGAATTACGCGGATATACACGTGGTAGTACAAAAAGAATGCGAGAGTATCGTGATTACCGAAATTACAAGAATACTAAATTAATAATCACCGAAGCTATTCTCAAGTCTGGACGAAAATGGATGATATAAATAATATAAATTAATGAATATAAAAGATCAGATTTTTACTTGTGTAGCGAAAAAATAATCTATCATATATAAAAAGATTCAGTTTTGATTTAAATTAGATATATACAGTGCTTTCAAACACTATATGTCACGCAGTAGATCGAAAACAAAGACAAAGAGAGATAAATAGAATTAATTGTCAAAAATGTGCAATATTACTAGGTATAATTTGATTCTTTTTTTATCGCGTTCAATATCGATTAGTACAATAATCGACGTGCAAAATCGGTGAGCATTTTAGCACATAAAGAGTTTGCGCGATTATTCTCGTACGCGTACAACAGGCAGGCAAGCAAGCAAGCAAGAAGGCAGGCAAGCAAGCAAGCAAGCAAGCAAGCAAACAGACAGACAGTCGTAAAACATCGGCGTGGAAAATTTTCCCGGTGCATACGCACACCACCGCATGTATGAAAGTATATCAAATTCACGAGTGGAGCGGAGTCTTAAGTGGAACAGCTCTATTATGGGGCGTGATTAATAAATATTCGCACGACTCGCATACACACACACATACATCCACATGTACGCACAGGTAGAGGCCGGGTCCACCTGATCTGCCAGCTGTGCGTGCACTAAGCGCGTCGACAAATCGCGCCGTCGCTTGTCATTGATGTATTTCGCGGCGACAATGTTGAGCAACATTTATCAGAGGGACTAGAAGAGAGAGAAAGAGTGCCCGTGTTTGCATACACTATTTTAAGCGTTTATTCAGGAAGGAAACCCGCTTGGCGTGACGGCGCTTGCTCGTATACATACAGCCGCGGCTTGTACTCGCATATACGCACGAGCGTTTAATTACGCACATTTAAATAGAAATTATGACTCATCGCCGCTGCACGGCGTCTCGGATGTCTTTTTACCGTCGACGTCGATCTCCTTGGCTCCCTTAAAAATATTTTCTCGATACGTTTTATATTTCTCGCATTATTCATCGCCACTATCGAATATGATGACTGCTGATGACACATCATTGTTCAATAGATAATTTTTTTATTAACCTCGTATAATAGTGATAAAAGTCATAGAGCAAAGATAGTCTCTAGTTTTCATAAATATATTTTGAAATATCAAAATTTTCAGTATTAGAAAAATAATGGTATTTTTTTATTGAACAATTTTTCGATCTCCTTCATAAAACGAAGAAAAATTCATCTCGCTAATAATTTAATTATCGATATATGAATTTGTTTTCTTATACTTGTAATTTTTAAAAAAATTGTTTACTTCTTTTCTTTAATATTTTTATTTTCTTTTCAATTAATTACGCGTTCTCGAAAAATGTATAACATTTATTCTTTCCGCGTTAAGATAAACTTTCAGTTCCTCGCTGAATTTTCTCTAGAAAGGAGGCGATATATTATAAGATCGTAGATTTTCGCTCTGTCGTCCTCTTTGTGCGCGCCATTATATTTAACTATTAATAGTCATTACCACTTTTCACTTGAGAGAGTGCTGTTATTACTGTTATTCTTCCTCTCCGCTACCAGCGTTTCCCAGCGATCGTTCTCGTTTTGCCTCGGACTTTTAATTAGGATTCCGTCATGACGCGAGCTCTCCAGCTGCTTCGAATACATTTTTTTCTGAGCGCATCGCTAATTCGCCGACTAAGCGTTCCGATCGAATCTCGACAGCGGCGAATAAACTCGTAACAAACGGCGCCCCAAAGGGAAGTTCTAGGCTCGTTGCACCGTAGAGTGCGCTAAATTAGATCGTAAGCATCGTAGGAATCCAAAGAGGCGTCCGCTAGTAGGTTGTAAAACAGCCTACCAGCTATAATATTGTTATATTTAAATATTTTGATAATTAAAAGTCTACATTTTTTCAATAATTTAGAATCGATACTGAACGATAATAACATCGATATACAAATTTCGTTGCCTTATTTACAACCGATATAATCAACTAACGCCAAAATATGCAGATTTTCTTCTTCATACATATGCATGTCACATTCTATCAATTTTAAAAACCATGTCATTTTTTCTCTCGATCTTTACGATTAATTAATTTCTACGATTGACAAGAGTTTTCAACGATATTCTTCGAGGCATAAATACCGCGATAAAAGTGTCAATAATTTTTGTTGTTTTGTTAAACGGTCGTCTTCGATGACGCGTCCCGATACGAAAGACGGCGACTAAATTATCCATTTCGTCAGGTATGCGCCCCGTTATTGGCCAGCCGGACTCGCGCGTGAGTAGACAAAATGTCAAGATTTTGATTTATGAGACTCGGCCCGGCCAACTCGCGGAGAAATTAAGCGGAGCAGCTCTCGATTAGAGACCCGGTTCATCCGCCCAGCGGCGGCTTTATCCGATTATCTTCGACTCGAAATGTCTGCGTAATCGTCCATTAATGGGATGGGGATGGGGATAACATAAGGTTCGCTCGATGAACATATATTTGAACACTGATAAGCGCGACGACGCGGAATGCAAGTGGCGAATCTCCTCGCCATTTCAAATTTAATATCGCGTATAATCTATGCAAATTAAAAAGCTCCGGTTTGGCTAATGAATTATAACGACACGTATTGTCATATTGCAATGATTGTAT